ATGCCTGTAATCCCATTTACTTATGAGACTGAGATTGGGATGATAATGAGTTGAAGCCACTTAAGGTAAAATGTTAAACCCCCATGTCAACAAATAAACCAGGTGTGATGGTGCATGCCTATGATCTCAGCTACATGGGAAGCCAGAGGTAGGAGGATCACAGTCACAGATGGTCTCTAAAGATCACCTAAAAAAGCAAAAGCCTAGAGCGTGACTAAAGTGATAGAGCTCATGAGGTCTTGAGTTCACATTTCAGTACCACTCACCAAATTTAAACCCCTCATTTATCCTATAAGTATCCTACTTTCTTTCTTTTAAAACCTTATTGGGTGGGTAGTTGATATCTACAATAGTTTATCATGACATTTAAATATCTTGTTTTTTTTGAATTGTTGGTTTTGTTATTGCTGTCTGCTTTCTCTCCTCTGAGTGGTGGTGAAAGAGAAATCCAACCTAATAGATGCATAAATCACAATGTGGAGATACAAATAATATGAAAAAGCAAAGGAATATGACTCCTCCAAAATCTCATAACACTTAATAACCAAACCCAAAGATACTGAAGGGGCTGAAGTGCCAGACAAATAGTGCAAAATTTACTTTCAAAGATGACTGGCCTCACAGGTGATTCAAATAAGTCAATTCAAAACCTGGACAAGAAAGTCAGAAACATGGATGAGAAACTCAACCAGAAAAGAATCTGAGAAACCCCACAGAAATGCTAGAAATAAAAAATTCATGAGTCAAATAAAAAAAGCATTGGACTGCATCGCCACTAGACTAGTTCAAGCAGAAAAAAGATTGTAGGGGTTGAAGATGAGATTGAGGAAATGCTACCCTCAGACAGAAATAAGAAAAAAGTTAAACAAGCATAACCACAACCTTCAGGAACTCTTAGAAATGACTAAGAGACCAAACCTAAGAATCCTCAGGCATTTGAAGAGGTACAAACTGAACACTCACATAACCCATACAATAAAATTATAACAGAGAATTTTCCATATCCTGGGAAATAATATGGACATCCAAGAGCAGGAGGAATTTAATACCATAACAGACATGAACCCTCTGTATCACATCAAGACTAGAGAGCAAGAAAGGATATTGAGAATTACAAGAGATTGAACTACACACTTGTGAGTGATCAATGGGTCATTGAGGGCAAAGAGAAGAAATTAAAAAACCCCAAGAACCAAATAAAAACAAAATCACAACCTTTATGACACAGCAAATACATTGTTAAAGAGGAAAGTTATTAACAATGAATGCCTACATTAAAAAGTCACAGAGATTTCAAATAAATAACCTAGTAGTGGACCTCAAGATCTTAGAAAAAACATAATAAATATGTAGTTAGTAGACAGAAAGAAATAATAAAGACATGACAGAAATTAACAAAATGGAGCCTAAAGAACAATGCAAGGAATCAGTGAAATAAAAGATCTGTTCTTTGACAAGATGAACAAGATTGACAAGCCCTCAGTCAAACTAATGAAAAGAAAGAGAGAAGAGACTCAAATTAATAAAATTAGAGATGAAAAGGGGATAGTACAACACGCCAGTGAATTTTATAGAGTCATTAGGGAATATTTAAAAAAAAACTTGTACTCTAATAAGCCTGAAAAATCTTGAAGAAGTTGATAAAATTTTGGACACATGTAACCTACCAAGGTTGGACTATAAAGATATAAACAACAGGCTAAGAAGACAAGAAAAAAGAAAATTATAGGTTAATTTCCCATATGAACATATATGCAAAAATTTCCAATAAAATACTTTCAACCAAATTCATCAGAACATTAGAAGTATCGTAATTATGGTCAACCTGGTTTCATGCCAGGCATGAAAAGACGGCTCAGTAACTAAAGTTACTGATGTAAGTCAGTAGCTAAAATTCAGCACACACAGAGCAAAGGACAAATATCATATTACCTTCACAGATGCAGAAGAAGCCTTTGACACAATGCAAATCCCTCCATGATACAAGTCTTGAAGAAACTAGGAATAGAAAGATTACACCTCAGCACAGTAAACAATAAATCTATAGCCAACACTGAATGGAGGGAAAACTGAAACCATTTCCTCTAAATTGAGGAGTGAAACAAGGGTATCTGCTCTCCTCAATCTAATTCAATACAGTGCTAAAAATCTGAGGCAGAGCAAGAAGGGAAGAAAAAGAAATAAAAGGGAAACAAATAGGAAAGGAAGAGGTCAAATGATCCCAATTTGCAGATGATATGATCCTATACGTAAAGGAAACTAAAGATGCCACCAAAAGTCTCTTAGATCTACAAATATTTTTCAGTAAAATATCAGGACACAAAATCAACATGAAAGCCAGTGGATTTTCTATACGCCAACAATGAACAGACCAAGAGTACAATCAGGAAAACAATCCCAATTTGTAATAGCTTCAAAAATTTAAATACCTTGGAGTAAACCTAACTAAGGAGGTGAAAGTCCTCTAAATGAAAACTGTAAAACAGTGAAGAAACGGAAGATGACCCTGGAAGATGGGAAGATCTCTTGTACATGAAGAGGCAGAATTAATACTGTGAAAATGGCTATACTGCCAAAACCAATCTACAGACTGCACACTATCCCCATAAAATCTCAATGTCATTCTTCACGGAAATAGAAAAACCAACCTTAAAATTCATTTGGAAGCACAAAAGTTCCCAAATACTCAAAGCAATCCTGAGCAAAAAGAGAAACTCTGGAGGTATCACGATACCTGACTTCAAACTGTACTACAGAGCCATAGCAGTAAAAACAGCATGGTACGGGCACAAAAACAGACCGGAAGACCAACTGAATAAAATAGAAAATCCAGACAAAACTCATGCAGCTACAGCCATTTGATTTTCGACAAAGGAGCCCAAAATATGTGTTGGAGAAAAGATAGCCTCTTCAACAATTCATGCTTGGAAAACTGCAGAAGACTGAAACTAGATCCCAGTCTTTCACCTTGTACTAGTATCAATTCAGAGTGGACCAGACTTTAATAAAACATCTGAAATGGTGGAATTGCTACAGGAAAAAACAGGGAATACACTGGATCATACAGACATAGGTCATAACTATAGATGGAACTCCAAGAGCTCAGTAATTAAGAGAAAGTGTTGACAAATGGGACCGAATGGAACTAAAAAGTTTCTTCACAGCCAGGGAAAGTCACCAGACAGAAGGGGCAATGTACAGAGTGGGAGAAAATTTCTGCCAGCTATACAGAGACAAGGGATTAACAACCAGAATATACAGGGAGCTCAAAAACCTAAACTTCCAAAGAATCAACAACCCACTGAGTAAATGGACAAATGTGTCAAAAGGAGAAGTGCAAACAGCCAGTAAGCATAGCAAGAAAGGCTCAGCAAGAAATGCTCAACATCTCTGGCTGTAAAGGAAATGAAGATCAAAACGCCACTGAGATTCCACTTCTCCCCAGTCAAAATGGCTACCATCAATAACACACACAACAAGTGCTGGTGAGGATATGGGGAAAAGGAACCCTTGTCCTCCCTTATCCTATTGGTGGGAATGTAAACTAGTGCCACTGCTATGGAATGCAACACGGAGGGTCCTTGAAAAACTAAAAGTAAGAGTACCATAGGATCTGGTGATACCATTACTGTGCCTACACCCAAAGGAAGGTAAGCCATTACACAACAGCCTCCTGCACACCCATGTTCACTGCAGCACTATTCTCAATAGCCAAGCTATGGAAACAGGCCAGATACCCACACCCGATAAATGGATTAAGAGAATGTAGTATATATATACAGGGAATATTATTCAACCATAAAGAAGAATGAAATGTTTGTAGGTAAATGGATGAAACTAGGGAACATCATGTTAAGCAAAGTAAGCGAGGCTCAAAAGGTCAAATGTTGCATTTTTTTCGGACATGTGGAAACTAGACTTATCATATAAATGTACACATAAATACACATATAACCTTATATACATGCATAGAACCACACACACATGAGGGGGAGGAGAAAAAAAGAAGAGAGGGGAGAGGGGAGAAGGGAGAGGGGAAAAGGAAGAGGGGAGAGAGAGATAGAGATAGAGTGAGAGAACATGATTGTGTTAGGGGTCTATCTGAGGAGTTTATAAGGAGGTGGGAGAGGAAAAGAGAACATTAGAGAGTGAAAAATAATGAAACACTGTATTTGCATATGAAGAAAATATAACACAATGCATTGTAAGTTGTGGAATAATAGGGGAGCAGGGTGACAGAGAAAGAATAAGTAGCGTGGGGAGTTAATCTGATTGAAGCATGATATGTACATGACTGAAATACCAAGGCAAAACTCTTGATCTATCCATGTACACTCAAAATCAAGTCAAGAAGGTAAAGGGGTTCTTTCCAGTGGTGGGTACCAGTGGGAGGGGTAGGGCATAAGGAAATGGTGAAGGAGGACAAATATGGTGGATGTGTTTTGTAGTGTGCATGAAAATAGAACAATGAAACCTGTTGACATTGTTTTAAGAAGCGGGGGAAGAAGACTTGGGAGAGTCACAGAAGGGGTGAATTTGATTGGGGAACAACGTATGAGTGTATGGACACATCACAATTGAACCACTTTGTACAACTAATGCACGCTAATAGAAATTAGGGAATAGAAACTTTCTTTTCCTTTTTGGTGGTACTGGGGCTTGAACTCAGGACCTTTCTTGTTCTTGCTAAGAAGGTGTTCTACCCTTGAGCTCCTCGTAGCATTTTTCTTAAGATATCAGGAGCTGTGTCCCCTGTACATATCAGTGCTTTGGAATTCCAAGAAATTTAGCAAAGTCAGTTACCTCAAACTGTGCAAAAATATTTGAGGAGAGGATTTGGCAAAGTCCTAAAAGGTTAGATTTCTGGAAGGCAGGGATTTCATGGAGAAGATATGATAAATAATTGGCTTACTTAATTCCTCACCTGGTCCCTTGGGAACATAGAACGAGCAGGAAATTTTTCCTTTCTTAGATCCATGTCCTTCAGGGAAATCAGGTGCTCAACAGTTGCACTCACGAGAGAAAATGTACCTAAGGAGCAGAGAGGGAGCTAGAAGTAAATCCCTGGCATTCTCCCTCAAGGTGCAGGCTTGGCCTGGACAAAAAGTTGTTCCTTTTGAAGTCTTAAAAGGCCTAAGTCTGGCTAAGGGCTCAATTCTTCATTCCATCCTGCTGTCTTGTCTGGGGAAGAGGTTCAGTATTCATTATCCACCATTCAGGGAAGAATCCAGACTTCCACAGGTTGATCCTCTTCTCAGAGTCCCCATCTATGTGGGTCTAAGATCCCATAGGTTCTGCAGGAAAGGGGCAGGCTGAATGGAAACTGACAAAATTTACTTGGTGTCCAGTGAGAATCAAGCCAGCCTAGCCCAGTCACTGTGTGCATTGAATAAATAATTGACAGCATACTTACTACATTAAAAAGAAGTGGTTTTTACATTCCGCAATGTGTAGATCATAGACATTAGGCAATGAGAATGGAAGCCTAGCTGGACACTGAATGTAGAAGAGGTGTAAAGCATTTCTTATAAAATAAGAACATGTCCAAGGATATTTGAATTAGCAACTCAGAAATTGAGTTTTAAGTGTGGAGGGATATGCAGTAAAATGAGGGTATTTTTTCTTTAGTTTTAACTTGCAGACTGTTTGGGTCTGTTCCCATATTTATTAAAAAGACTAGATGACGGCTGGGGCTGTCTCAACTGGTAGAGCTTCTGTCTAGCAAGTTCAAAGCCCTGAGTTCAAAACCAAGTGTCAGAGAAAAGACCAGAGGAATGGATTCATTGTAAAACTACCTGGCAACAATGGTTTGTGAGACATACATCTCCAGTGTCTGGTCTCATCTTGGCATCAACAATAAAATAACCTTGTTGTTTTTTTTTGTGAAGCATTTTTTTTTATTCATATGTGCATACAATGTTTGGGTCATTTCTCCCCCCTCCCCCCACCCCCTCTCTAACCCCTTTCCCCACCCCCTCCTTCTCTCCCCCATCCCCTCGATAGCCGGCAGAAACTATTTTGCCCTTATCTCTAATTTTGTTGAGAGAGAGTATAAGCAATAATAGGAAGGAGCAAGGGTTTTTGCTAGTTGAGAGAAGGATAGCTATACAGGGAGTTGACTCACATTGATCTCCTGTACATGTGCATTACCTTCTAAGTTAATTCTTCTGGAACTAACCTTTTCTCTAGTTCCTGGTCCTCTTCCCCTATTGGCCTCAGTTGCTTTAAAGTATTTGCTTTAGTTTCTCTGTGTTGAGGGCAACAAATGCTATCTAGTTTTTTAGGTGTCTTACCTATCCTCACCCCTCCCTTGTGTGCTCTCGCTTTTATCATGTGATCAAAGTCCAATCCCCTTGTGTTTGCCCTTGATCTAGTGTCCGCATATGAGGGAGAACATATGATTTTTGGTCTTTCGGGCCAGGCTAACCTCACTCAGAATGATGTTCTCCAATTCCATCCATTTACCAGCGAATGATAACATTTCATTCTTCTTCATGGCTGCATAAAATTCCCTTGTGTATAGATACCACATTTTCTTAATCCATTCGTCAGTAATGGGGCATCTTCTTATGGGTCTGAGTGTTTTTGTCTTTTGATGTCAAGAAGTGATGTGGAAGTTTATTTCATTGTTTGTTTTCCATTTAGTTTGTAAAAATATATGTATGGATACGTGCTGGAGAGGGGTATGTGAAATTATATGAATTTTGGGTGATCAAAACTTTCAGTCATATTGCACACTCATTCCCCCACTGCATTTTAACTTTGCAGTTTTTCTGCCTCCTCACTATTAGTAAATTGCCTTCTGCAGGCACAGCATCTTACAGAGCTGTCTTCAGGGCACTGGGACCTGAGTTCACATGTTCTAAACTGGGAACAATGCTTGGAACATGCTGGTTTAGGTAACTTCTTTTTTGTCATTACTGGGGTTTGAACTCAAAGCCTCATGCTTGCTACACAGGTGCTCTACCACTTGAGACACATCAGTCTTTTTTGTGTTGGGTATTTTTGAAATAGGGTCTCAGTTTTTGCCTGGGTTGGCTTTGAACTACAGTTGTCCTGATCTATGTTTCCAAAGGAGCTAGGATCACAGGTGTAACTCACGGACGTCTTGCTTTCAGATGTTATCTTGCTTACTTGTCCAACTTGGACTTCATAAAAGAGAAGTTTCCACTCTCTGTTTCTCTGTCCATTTTTCATGGTAATAATTACTATCTGACAGCTTCTTTTCATTTTTACTGATAAATAAAAAACTATGCATATTTGGGATGCAATGTGATGTTTTAGTAAGTGTATGTATAATGTTCAATTTTAGCTAGGTACTCAAATTTCTATCATTCATTTAAGGTGAAAATATTCAAAATCTTCTATTTCTTATTTTTATGAATTCGCTTATATACTTGTATTATTTCTCTATGAAAAGTTTATAGAGATTTTTATTTCTCTGCACCCTAAAATCAGTGTTCAGACAGTGCTAGGATCATGATTGTAACTCGGTTTACATTTCTCAAGTACATAGAAGAAATGACTATTAAGACTCCAGAACATACAATATGTTTAAGAAAATGTAGACAGGAATAGGAACTTCTAATCAGAAATATACAGGGTATGTCTTACAGGGCTCAGGTGCAAAACAGTTGTGTTTTTTCCCACTCTTCTGGTCATCACATACAGCACATGGAACCACAAAACTATATCAAAATTTCAGAATTTCTTCTCGGATTTTCAGAAGAATCAGAATTGCAGCTTCCCATATATAGACTGTTCCTCTCTATGTACCTGGTCACTCTTCTTGGTAACCTGCTCATCATCCTGGCTATGATCTCAGATCCACACCTGCACATGCCCATGTACTTCTTCCTCTCCAACCTGTCCTTTTCTGACATCTCTTTCTCTTCCATCACTGTGCCAAAGATGCCGGTGAACATCCAGACAAAGAGCAAGGCCATAACACATGAAGGCTGCATCACCCAGATTTCTTTCTTTCTTTTTTTATTTGCATGTTTGGACAACTTCCTTCTGTCTGTGATGACCTATGACTGCCTTGTGGCCATCTGTCACCCCCTGTACTACATCGTCATCACGAGCCACCAATTCTGTGTGTTGCTGGTTATTATGTCCTGGGTCACAAGTACCCTGAATAGTGTATTACATGTCTTAGTGGCATTGCAGCTGTCCTTCTGCACAGACGTGGAAATCCCTCATTATTTCTGTGAACCTAATCAGTTGATTCAACTTGCCTGTTCTGACACATTTTTTTGTTGTTTATTCATTCATTCATATGTGTACACATTGCTTGACACCTTGCTCCACTGCCCCTTGTCCTCTTCCCCCTTCCCTCCACCCCACTTGCTTCCAGGCAGATCCTTTTCTGCCCTTTCCTCCAATTTTTTTGAAGAGAAACATAAGAGATAAGAAAGACATAGCATTTTTGCTAGTTTGAGATAAGAATATCTATACAGAGAGATTCCTATCATTGCCTCCATGCACATGTGTATTGCAACCCACATTGGTTCATCTCTATCAGACCTCTTCACTACTTCCCAGTCATCTTCCCATAGTGGCCTCTGCCAGTTTTTTATTATTTTATTTTTAATCTTTTTATTATATTCATATGTACATGCAATATTTGGGTCATTTCTCCCCCCTTTCCTCACCCCCTCCCTTACCCACCCCCACTCCATCCCTTACCCCACTAACTCTTTGCTATCCGGCAGAAACTATTCTGCCCTTATCTCTAATTTTGTTGGAGAGAGAGTATAAGCAATAATAGGAAGGACCAAGGGTTTTGCTAGTTGAGAGAAGGATAGCTATACAGGGAGTTGACTCACATTGATCTCCTGTACATTTGTGTTTCCTTCTAAGTTAATTCTTCTCGAACTAACCTTTTCTCTAGTTCCTGATCCTCTTCTCCTATTGGCCTCAGTTGCTTTAAAGTATCTGCTTTAGTTTGTCTGTGTTGAGGGCAACAAATGCTATCTAGTTTTCTGGGTGTTTTACCTATCCTCACCCCTTCCTTGTGTGCTCTCACTTTATCATGTGCTCAAAGTCCAATCCCCTTGTTGTGTTTGCCCTTGAACTAATGTCTGCATATGAGGGAGAACATACGATTTTTGGTCTTTTGGGACAGGCTAACCTCACTCAGAATGATGCTCTCCAGTTCCATCCATTTACCTGCGAATGATAACATTTCATTCTTCTTCATGGCTGCATAAAATTCCATTGTGTATAAATACCACATTTTCTTAATCCATTCGTCAGTAGTGGGGCATCTTGGCTGTTTCCATAACTTGTCTATTGTGAATAGTGCCGCAATAAACATGGGTTACTCTGGAGTAACCTGTGTCACATTCTTTTGGGTATATCCCCAAGAGTGGTATTGCTGGATCAAATGGTAGATCTATGTTTAGATTTTTAAGAAGCCTCCACATTTTTTTCCAGAGTGATTGTGATAGTTTACATCCCCACCAGCAGTGTAAGAGGTTCCTTTTTCCTCACATCCTTGCCAACACCTGTTGTTAGTGGTGTTGCTAATGATGGCTATTCTAACAGTGGTGAGGTGGAATCTTAGTGTGGTTTTAATTTGCATTTCCTTTATTGCTAGAGATGGTGAGCATTTTTTCATGTGTTTTTTGGCCATTTGAATTTCTTCTTTTGAGAAAGTTCTGTTTAGTTCACTTGCCTGTTTTTTATTGGTTCATTAATTTTGGGAGAATTTAGTTTTTTGAGTTCCCTATATATTCTGGTTATCAGTCCTTTGTCGGATGTGTAGCTGGCAAATATTTTCTCCCACTCTGTGGGTGGTCTCTTCAGTTTAGAGACCATTTCTTTTGTTGAGCAGAAGCTTTTTTGTTTTATGAGTCCCATTTATCTATGTTATCTCTTACTTGCTGAGCTGCTGGGGTTCCACTGAGAAAGTTCTTGCCTATTCCCATTAGTTCCAAAGTATTTCCTACTCTTTCCTGTACCAACTTTAGAGTTTGGGGTCTGATATTAACATCCTTGATCCATTTTGAGTTAATATTGGTATAGGGTAATAAACATGGATCTAGTTTCAGTTTTTTCCCAGTAGTTTTTGTTGAAGAGGCTGTCTTTTCTCCATTGTATATTTTTAGCGCCTTTGTCAAAGACAAGTTGGTTATAGTTGTGTGGCTTCATATCTGGGTCCTCTATTCTGTTCCACTGGTCTTCATGCCTGTTTTTGTGCCAGTACCATGCTGTTTTTATTGTTATTGCTTTGTAATATAGTTTGAAGTTGGGTATTGTGATACCACCAACATTGTTCTGTGGCCTCTTGTGTTTCCATATAAAGTTAACAGTAGATTTTTCAATCTGTTTAATGAATGCCATTGGAATTTTGATGGGAATTGCATTAAGCATGTAGATTATTTTTGGGAGTATAGACATTTTTACTATGTTGATTCTACCAATCCATGAGCATGGGAGATCTCTCCACTTTCTATAGTCTTCCTCAATCTCTTTCTTCAAAGTCTTATAGTTTTCCTTGTAAAGGTCTTTCACGTCCTTTGTTAAGTTTATACCTAGGTATTTGATTTTTTTTGAGGCTATTGTAAATAGAATTGTTTTCATATATTCTTTCTCAGTTTGTTCATTATTAGTGTATAGAAATGCAAATGACTTTTCTGTATTGATTTTATATCCTGCTACCTTGCTATACCTATTTATGGTATCTAGGAGCTTTTGAGTAGAGTTTTTTAGGTCTTTAAGGTATAGGATCATGTCATCTGCAAATAAGGATATTTTGACAGTTTCTTTACCTATTTGTATTCCTTTTATTCCTTCTTCAAGCCTAATTCCTCTGGCTGGAAAATCCATTACTATGTTGAATAGGAGTGGAGATAGTGGGCATCCTTGTCTAGTTCCTGATTTTAGAGGAAATGGTTTCAGTTTTTCTCCATTAATTATAATGCTGGCTGTAGGTTTGTCATATATAGCTTTTATGATGTTGAGGTACTTTCCTACTATTCCTAGTTTTCTTAGAGGTTTTATCATGAAATGTTGTTGGATCTTATCAAAGGCTTTTTCTGCATCTATTGAGATGATGAAGTGGTTTTTGTCTTTGCCTCTGTTAATGTGGCTTATTAAGTTTATTGATTTTTGTATGTTGAACCACCCCTGCATTCCTGGGATGAAGCCTACTTGGTCGTGGTGAGTAATCTTTTTGACGGGTTGTTGAATTTGGTTTGCCATTATTTTGTTGAGGATTTTTGCATCAGTGTTCATTAAGGAGATTGGGCCTAAGTTCTCCTTTTTGGAGTGTCTTTGCCTGTTTTGGGATAAGTGTAATACTGCCTTTCATAAAATGTGTTAGGAAGTTTTTCCTTTCCTTTCTATTTCATGGAACATTTTAAGGAGGGTTGGCACTTTTTCTTCTGGGGAGACTCGGATTGCTGCTTCAATTTCATTTTGTTTATAGATCTATTCAGTGATTAATTTCCCCTTGGTTTAGTTTGGATGATCATATGTATCTAGAAATCGC